TATATATATTGCAAAACAGTTTCAACAACAAACATTTCTCAAATTTTCAACAATATCAAAATAAAGCTGATGTTATAACCAGTACTTCAAGTAAAATTAGTCAATTAGACATAAAAAAAATTCTAAGTTGGCATATGTTGTCTAAAAGTTTATAGTGCGACAGGATCTTAAGCTGCACATAGTCCTGTCATAAAACAATTTCAGATAACTGGAATATAAGTGTGGTGAAGCCAAATAAATATAACATCTGCCTGCCATACAAAGAGCTTCTCCCTGCTGAACTTATCAGCTGCTGCTCTGCTGCGCTCTCATCTTCATCAGAGCAGAAGCCGACTTTACATTAGCAAGATGGATTCATGACTGAACGAACGTACACATCTTTTTTTAAATATCTCTGTGGGTAACAATACATAAAGTTTTTTTTCTCCGACAACTTGGGTGTGAAAAACTACGGTTGTTAAAGCTTCGCTCTGCACGATGTGCAGCAATAGAGTCGACGTAACGTTTATACAGCGGGAGGGGGAAATTTTAAGGATTTATTCTCTCTATACGTGTTTTAAAATGCTAGAATTTCTTCATTATATTTCAAKTTCCTCCTGCTCAGTTGTCTCTGCACTCACAGCCATGTTCACACAGGTGRGATGGTGTAACTGATGACAGGATGGTAGAGGGTAAATTTTTACCGTAGGCCAACTTCATATAGTTTRTWCCATCTATCACATATACCACACAGCTCTAGTCCAAACTATAAAAATGCGTGCCGAAGTGTTTATTTTCCTCCCTGAAAAAACATGAATAGTTATAAGGTTAGGARAATACAGGGTTTAGCTTAATGTTGTGTTTTATATCAGTTTAAACCATCATGCTGTTTGTTTTTCAGGGTGTCCCTCATGCTGCTAAGAAAAACTGCTCCATCATGTGATCCAACTCCACAGAGACACCTCGTCCTCCTCTGAGCCCAGCCACTCTGCTGCCAACTATTATAGTACTATTTTTCTATCTTTTTTAGTGTGTGTCTGCTATAAACATGGTTTTATCCTTATTTTTTATTTGTCAGAATAATCTCACTGCTTTTTGTATTTCTTTTTTCATCTGAATAACCAAAATAATGTAGGTATTGTTTCTGTTGAAGRTCTAAACTTGAGATGAAGCAGCTTAACTCAAGGACTTCAAAGAAGAAACAWGTCATTTTTTAACTTGGGTTTTAAAGTCTTTAAATTGTGTTTGACAGTTGTTTTAGGTATTTAAAGCTAAAAAAAAGCTACAGGTTGATAGTTCAGGTCAGAGCTGATTTGCTTTTGTATTGGCTGGAGTCCTCCCACAGTTATAATGGAGAATAGTAGGAAATAAAAAGTTAAATTTAGCTCTGTTCTAGCAGCAGGTAATGTAATGAGAAATCGTCCCAGCAGATTGAAGCCCGATTAGATAAAAGCTTGAAATTGGCAGCATCAGGTCCGTTCCTCAGTGGTGTGAAGTAGTTTAGAAAGCAGAAAATAGCTGTGATTGTGTTTGAGGAAATCAGAAGAGAAAGTTGTCTGAAAGAATATGACTGAATTGTTGCCTAGTTGTGAGACATCTGTCCTGAGACACTACAGAAATGGACCTAAAGCATTGGTCTATGCAGAATGTGTGTGTGTGGATTTGTATTTTTACTTTTTATTTTTTGCAAACTCACGTGTCAAATTTTCTTCACACTCTTTTGAGTCTTGTCATGCAGCACAAGTYTTTCTTTAATTTGCTAAATAAAACAGTAGCTGAAGTGTTGATTGTATTAACTTTTGATATTTGAAGTGTTTATTGCAACTTCTGCATTGTGTTATTTTATGCATGTAGTAGTCTGTATTTGTAGTTGAATGATTAAATGTTTTCTTGTTTTTACTTTATTTCAAATTTGCAAAGTAGAAAATGGAGAAAAACAAAAGTCCAAGAAGCAACAGGATAGATAATGTCAGGCAGTCGATCTGTACTTCTGCATTTTTTATTGTTTAATTTATTCACTTTTCTCAGARGAGCAGCAATCAGTTATCTTTTCAGTCAGGTTTTATTTTTACTCAACCTTAAAAAATCAATTTAACATTAAAACTGAACCATTTCAGCAACTATATTGACATCTGTCTAACTTTTTTGTTAATGTTAAATCTTAAAACATGTCCAAGTTCATCCTTTATTTCCAGTACTGACTATGACAAAAGACTGATTGTTACCAGTTCATAATGTAACAAATGGTTTGTCCAATGCTCCGTGCCTAGTATTGTAATACTTCCTCTTCATTTATGGGTAATCAGTGAAATATGCTTTATGAATGAATTGTTCACTACCTTATTTTAAGCACATTGTTTCATGAAAATGAATAAAATAAACCATTTGGTATAAAAAAAAACAACCCTGGTGTGTATATGTGTGTGTGGGAGGGTGGGGGCAACTAGGACTGTTCCTAAAGACACTTATTAAAAATGGGTTTTGTTGATGGGTGGAGCTAAGGTGTGAGGGTTTTTCTCTGGGTACCCTGCTGTGTTKGCCTGGTAAAAACCAGATCCTTGTCCTTGAAGGGAAACTAGAATTGAGTAGAACTGTGTAGGAAGGCGAGGGCCAGGCTGCTGCTGACTGCTGGATCTATACTGAACTTTGGAGCAGTACTGATTAAAAATAAAAGAGCCACTAAAGTTGCCATGTAAAAACAAACAAAAAAAAAAAACTGGAACATTTACAGATGCTTTGGGTGTAAATCACCAGATCTGTGAAGATATCTATTTGCATGACAATACAATATTAAAAAAAAGTTTGTCGTGATACAATTTCGACTTAATTCGATTCACAAGTCTACGATCGATATGTGATTTCCTAAGCCCGTCTAACAAATGATTGTATTACGTAGATGGGCGTTTGATGTTGATCCACATCAGGCATTGATGATGATGTGGATGGTTTTGTTTCATTTGGTCCCAATGTGACTGAATCCATCATTTAATCAATCTATTGTATTGCTACACCGCTATAGAGCAGCTCAAATATTAGAATATGTACTTAAATTTGTTAGTACGGTTATTTAATTTGGAACTTTGAACGTCTTTCACATAATTATTAATTAATTGATTCCTTCTTGGTCCAAATGACCTTTGCACATTTTGCATTTGTTGTTTTTTAAAGCTACATTTTGATACTTTGATGAACCTGATATCATGAGTGGTTACACAGATATAGCTTAATTAATATAGCTTAATTGTTCATCGCAATGATAAATAAATATTTGACCTGTATCCTGTTTTTATTAAATTTTAATTATGAGTTTTTGATGTCATTGTAAAGAGGCAACCTCAGATAGTATTTTGATAGTGAGATTTCCTAGCCGGAAAGAAACTGTTGAAATGATCAGAAACTGAATGCGGTTTTGCTCAAAATCATGTATTTATTTCTATTTCTAAAAAAAACGAAATGCAAATGTTAAGATTATATTTCAGAGTTCATTCAAATGATTGATAAAATATGTTATATTTTGACAAGATGCAATTATTGCAAACATTTGAACCAAAATAGATACCTGTTTTAGATTTAATCTGCATTTCAATGTGATGGTTCACATGTACCAAACAGTGTTGATTCTATATTTAATAACATTTTGGCTCAGTTGGTGTTGAAGGAA